GAATTCGGGACAAATTTGATTTAACCATCTAAAATTCTAAATTTAAGTCATCTTCTTCATTTAATTTATTTGTGTTGTTGGATATTTAAATTTTAATTAGCTAATTTCAAGTTTCTAACTCTAAATTTGATTAATTGTTATTTAATTTTGATTTTATATAATTTATTATATATTATATATTAAATTTTGTAAAATCTCGATTTTACGATCCTGATTTTACTTAACCAAAATGATTTTAGGTAAAATCTTGATTTTGACAACCTTGATTATAACTATATTAATATCATAAATTATAATTTTTTAAGTGATGTCACATGCTAATGGATAAAATGAGGTCGCATCAGATTTTTTAGTTGAGACACAAATTACTTGCAGTGTAAAGATTAATTTTGTAGAACGGTGATGACTATCTGATTAATTGCAATTTAAATTGAAAAGAAACAAAAACTCTTATAATTTAGGAGGAAGTGCAGTTGAGGGTTTGAGGTAACAGTAGAATGATTCAATATAACTTGGACCTAGTCCTAATGATCTGTCCGTTTTCTTCGAAAAACTATTCATGTTTTGTAACAACCAGTGAGGTGGGAGGACAATTAACAAAAAACAAATAAAAAAAGAAAGTTTCAAAATATTTAACATACAACAGTTTTATACACAATTTATCAAATTTTTAATTCTTTAGTTTCATAGCAATTACTTACTTTTAACTAACAAACTTTGATTTTCAACATAAATCTCAGTAGATTTAGGTTGTTTTTAACATTCAAGTAGTTCAATTAGTTCATGTAATTGCTTTTACAATTTTCTTTTGTACAATGAATATCAAGCTTTTCAATTTTTGTAAGGTATTGCTCTTTTTGTGATTTGTGTAAGTTTAATATTTATGATAAGTAATTTTTCTCCAAATAATTACTTATATGTCGTTCATATGTTTCTTTTTAATTTTTGGCATGTTAGTTTAATCTCTATTCATATTTGGTTCATGATTATTTAGAGTTAAAATTCTAATTCTGCAGTAGTTTAATTTTTCAAAACTATTTGTAAATAGGAATTTAATTTGACAATTAACATGCTTAATTTAACTTGGATACATCTTTTATTTATAAGTTTATTTTAATTTATCTATCATTTAAGTCATTTAAGATCTGTTCACTTTAATTCACAATGGTATTTAAGTTCTTAGAGTCGTCTAAGACAGATTTAGTGACCTATTCTACAAAAAAAAACATCATTCCCTCTTGCAAATCGTCTGAAAACATAAATTTTGATTTTAAACTAATGTTTTCTCAATTATCTGCAAGGAAATCGAGTACGAGAAAAGAGAGTCATCGGGAAAATTCTCATTTCTTGCGTTATGGCAAAGCAAGTGGTAAGCTTGCATTTTGAATCCTCCTTTTTGAAATCTTCGATAATTTAGTTTCTATCTATAAACAATAACTTGTCTGAGTTGAAGTCAAAATTAAAAATTCAAACTATTATTGAGTTGGAATTAAAAGGTCAACAAATAATTTCAGAGATAACAATTTTAAGCTAGTGTGAAATTGTGTCAAATTTATGAATAAAAAAAGTTGAATTTATAATTTTACTTTTTCTATTTTAAAATAATTATTTTTTTATTTTAATTTTATTTTAAATTAATCATTAATTTTTATTTTGAATATAGATAAATAAATTTTTTTATTTTAACTTTATTATTATTTATTTACTTTAATTAATTATCTTATCACAAAAAATATTACTCTATCTTTTAGTAACTCTACCTGTGCTAAGTTCAATTTCGTGGACTGGTGTCAATTCCCACTCCATTGTGCAGTTGATTTTTAACTTATTGAACTTTTAATGTAATGTATGGGTGAGTACCCCTTGTACTCTTTTATTAATAACACTTTTGATTCATAAAAAAAAAACTCTATCTTTTAGTAACTTTTTTTTTAAAAAAATGATATAATTAAATATATGAATTATCTATAAATAATAAAAATAAAAAAGTATTTTTTTTGAAAAAAAGTATTTTTTTTGAAAAAAAAAACATAAAATTTTATGCTCTCTATATTATAACTGCATCATGCTTCATTTTTTTTTTAACATACTACGTCATTCTTCATTTGCATTCTCTAAGTACTACTTCTTCGTTTTAAAAAATAGTCCTTTTTTTTGAATTTTTTTCATATATTAAGAATTTGTGAATTGCTGTTGAAAAAATTCTAGACAAATTTTGCTTTTCAGATCGAGTGCTTCTCACAATTTATAATAGAGGATATTTGGTTTATATAATTAATTACTAAGTAATAAATTATAGTTAATTATACGGATTGACTTCCATGAGTATCTACAAGTAATTAATTATCCTCTAATAATAATTTTTTTTTATATTGGTTGTACAATGAGAGGTATTTCTCTCGTTTATTATTCCACCCTACTCACATTTTATACGACTTAAACTCATAACATTTTCTTTTCAATAAAAAAAAATTATTACTGAATTATTTAGATCGTTGACTCCAATAATAATCGATTAAAATGAAAATTTTAAGTTGGTTATTGATATTGAAATATAGTCAACTATAAATATAAAATAATTGATCACCAACAACAATGTAATTAAGTTTGGCAAAATGTTAATAGATTATCAAACTTTCACAAAGATGTTGCAGCATTATTCAAGTCATTTCAAGTGTTCTATACAAATGAAAATGTTTCAAGGGTAGCTTTAGCAATTTTTTGCCGCCAATTCTACCATTAAGGTTTTCTTCTAGTAGTTTTAGTTGAAATGGTGTTTTCGTGACAAGGCCTTAAAGTGATTTTAAGGTAAAATAACTTTTCGAGAACATTCTATTGTCAAAACAAAAGCGGGCATAATCCACTTACAACAATTTAAAAAAAATTCAAAAATACTAATCATTTGTTGATTCAATTAAAAAAAGTTAGATTTTTCTAAAATAAGATTTATAATTTGATACTTATAAATTGAGATACAGTTATTACAAAAATTTTCTTCGTAGAGGTCGGATCCAACTTAGCTGCAAATTAATCAATATTAAATATAATTTTTAAATATTAAAAAATTAGTAAAAAAATCCCAAAACTCTTCACCAACCAATCAACCTCTTAAATATCAGACACGTGGAGTATCACTAGAACCTTCTGATATGATTTGGTTCTCATCTTATATTTGGCCCAAAATTTTCGAATGGAATTATAACAGCCATTACAACTCATCGCGCTGTTTGTTTGTTTGGTTTTTTCCTTCTTTTTTTTGGGTCCCGATCACCCTATTTATATCGTGACTCGTCGGAAGTGAATAACTGGGGGAATTTAATTTTGTCCACTCATTCTGCCTCTACACAAAGATTTGACTCAATTTTTCGAATATTTATATCTACTTACACAGGATTTTAGTGTATCTGTCAATCAGTTTCTGAAGAATTTTCAATGCCTCAATGATGGCTATGGAATGGGTTCAATTCAATCATTTAACATATGTATGTAAATTCCATTTTTTTTAAAAAAAATTAAACAATAAAAAAATGAATAACCTACATTAATTAATTTATTAGTTATCTCACAAATTTTATACATAACATGTGATAGACTCTTTCTTTAATAAAATACTCCCTCTATCTCATGATATATTTAATATAACAGTTTAAATTTATAAAATAATAAATAATGAATAACGAATACTATATGACACATAACAGTAATAGATAATAAATAGCAAATAATAGTTAACAAATAGTAAATAACGGATAATGAAAATAATAGTTAACAAATAGTAAATAACAGATAATGAAAATAAATAGCAAATAACGAATAATAAAAGTAGGTAGTAAATAATTGATAATAAATTTGATTAATATAATATTTTAATTATATAATAATGAGTGGTTATTATTCAAATTAAATGATTAGTAAAGACATTTTTAAAAGTATTCAAGTGTGTTTTTTTCCTTTTTATATGTTTTATTATTAAAATTTTTAATTTTATAAAAATAAAATAACTTATTATAATATAATCACACTCTGATTTTTATTTTCAATAAAAAAAATTATATTATTTTTAACTAAAGTACAAAAAAATTTTAATAATTTCATCTAATTAATAAGTTTTGTTTATTAAGTTAATATATTTGTGATGATAAATTAATGTAAAAATAAAAATAGAATAATTATTTAATATTATTAAAGACAAAAAATAAAGTTAAGACTAATTGGTAGGGGTGATCGCGGTGTGGTTTGTCTCGGATTTTATTATTTTTTAAGTCAATCTAATTTAATCAGTTAATAAAATTTTTAAACCAATCCAATTTAAATCGGATCGGTGTAATTCGATCAGATTGATAAGTTTTTAACATTATTAAATATAGAAAGTATAACTATAAAATACATTAACATCTAAATCAGTAAAAACATAATAATAAGTAAAAATTATAAATAAATTCTCATACTCTTTTACATTTATAAAAAATGAAAAACTCTAAAAATTCTTCTTGGTTACATTATTAGAGGCACTAAAAATAATAAAAAATAATTTCAAATTTCTAGCATAACGTAACTAATTCCTGAAGGTTAAAATTAATTTTTTTACCTAATGCACTAATAATTTAATCCAATTTTCTAAATATTGTTAAAAGTGAATAACATTTAACATGAATATTACTAAAATTGATTAGAAGCATTCATACTCAAATTTTAAAACTTCTAAACCAAATATCCAAAAATACTAGAATATTAAGACTAATTTTATTATATAGTTTTAAAACTTTTAGAATTATACTTATTTAAAATTTAGTTAGGAGAATCATAAGATTATTTTAAAAATAAATTAGAAATTTAGGGTTCTAAGAGTAAAGGCACAAACTAGTTCTGAGATGATAGAGCTGCAGGTGAATTAGAAATTTAGAATTAAGGTTCAAGTGCATGACTAAAATTGAGAAATAACTTAGGGAATATGAAGATGTTCTATTTTTATTTTTTTAATTAAGTTAATGAAGTTACAATCTTATAAAATAAGAAAAAGAAAATTTAAAATACTACAAAAAATATGTTATATTATTTAATTAAATTATCTTCTACTCGGATTTTATTTTATAATCGGGCAGTTTGGGCGGTTTGAAGATAAAACCATGAACCAAACCAATTATATCAGTTTTAAAATTTTAGAATTCAAACAAATTCAATTTTATATCGATTTGGATCGATTTTTTATTGAATTAGATCAGTTTAAGTCGGATTAATCGGATTGGATCGAATATGAACACCCCTAATAATTGGGTTTTTCTAACCTGTATGCTAAAAGCACAAGTTAAGAGTTTTAAAAAATAAAAAAATAATATTTAATTTATCAATTATCTAATTAAATTTATCTACATGATATTGACACTAAAATTAATATTTACTTTTACATTTTCTTATATAAATTTATTGCAAAAATGTATTCTTAACCTATTAAAAAAATCCAAACTAATTAGATAAGTACTAATTAAAAACCATAACCAAAAATTAAAAAATTAAAATGGATAAATTTGTCAAAATTTTTTTAAAAAAATCTAATTCGCTAGCAATTTGAACTCTAGTCACTATTTGTTACTCTCAAATTGCTAAATAAAAAGTTTTATCAAATACTTAATTTGTGATAGTTTCGAAATAAATAAATTTATCAAATATTTATTCTTTATAATTTGAACAAAATCAATAACCACTACTTTTAAATCGCTAATCACTACCTTTAAATCGCTATATCAAACATGCTGTTAGTAGAATAATAATTTTTTATCTTCAAATTAAAAATTTAAGCACAGTTTTTATTTTTACATATTTTACTTTTAAAAAATTAAGAAAATTTTTCCTAAAGGAAAGATAAATTATTTTGGCAAAATATCCAAATCTACCCCCAAAGTATAGTGGTAAGGATGGATCCACCCCTGAACAAAAAAACATGAACAAATTTACCCATAAAGTTTTCGACTTTGATAAATCACACCAAATTTAACGTGTGATATCATTTAATATCAGCAATCCGTTAATTCGTTAATAGATTGTTGACGTTAGATGACGTCAAATTAACAAATTGTTGATATTAAATGACGTCACATCTTAAATTTGGGGTGATTTATCTAAGTCAAAACTTTTGTGGGTGAATTTGTCCTCATTTTTTGTTCGGGGATGGAACCATCTCTACCACTATACTTTGGGGGTGGATTTTGGTATTCTGCTAATTTTTTTTAATGAAATAGAGATATTCATATTCTATTAATTGAAAAAAAATTACATATGAATTTCGTAAAGGCACCTAAAGCCAAATTGAAGTTATACATTATAGTATCAAATATAGAATCAAATATAGATGAAAACAATGTCCATAAATAATAAGAACAATTGAATACAAAGAGCTACCTATAACTGCATATTGCCTTGGCAATTGCTAATGATATGTATAGTGCTGCAAAAGTAGAGAAAAAAAAAAAAGAAAAACCTAGTGCGCGTTCAAAATTGCTAAACTTTCTCTATTGTCATGTCAAGTTTTGAGAAAAGCATGTAATCTATTAAATGACAATCTTCACCTAATGAATGTCGAGCAAGGATCATCACTAGCAAGGAGGAGAGTTGGAGTCTCCTTTAAGGATCACCTAAGCCATAGTCAAATTAACATAAAGGAGACTTATCACTAACTTGTTGTCATTTTCAATCTAAGACAAAACTCAACGAAAATCATCAAGAGATTTCAAGCGAAAACCCCACAAAAGGGAAGAAATTCTCACAAAGGAAAGAGAACCCTTTAAGATGAGAAACTTTCACTTTTATTCAACCCCTCTACTCATTCAAAGGGGAGAAAGGCAACAACTAGGGAGAGAAGAAAAAGAAAAGAGGACGACAGGAATGGAAAGAAGAAATAAGGAGAGGTAAATGGATAGATAATTAAAATTAATAGATAATTATAGAGTTAAAGTAGGAAAATAATATTTATCTCTCTTAAAATATAAAAAACAACTATTATTCAAAGATGAATTCTAAAAAAAGACATCTATTATTTTGAAAATGAGAGAGTATGTGAATTGCCATAAATATTCATTTAATATCATAACTATTGTGAGTTTTTATCAAGGCAATGTAACAATTATAATACCAATAAGAGCTTAGTCACATTGTTTGAACTTTTGCAATATAATCAATTAGTTTTTCAATGAAACAAAAATTTCTTCAGGCCTACAAGTACAATGTTTTTAATTTATATAACATTATATGATATTAAATAAATAAATATATACTAATTTATGTGTAACTATCACATAAAAAAGAGCTAATAATAAGAAATTATAAATTAAAAAAATAATTCATTAAAAGCATTTAAATAATTTCACAAATATTTCTACACTATTTTCCTATAGGTCAACTTAAAAAATACTTTTTGGCAATCATAAAATGCAACATCATAGTGTACAAACTATTATTTAAAAAAACCATGATTGGCATACACTCATACGTACCACACTTTTGTTACACACTCTTTTTTCCGTTAGTTCTTAGACTCCATTAGTCTCCATTTCACTCTCACTGTGTTCCCACCTTCT